TCAAGAGTTGGACACTTAAATGACTGAGCCACCCAGGTGCCCCAAACCCCTACTTTCTATCTCACATACTCAAAAAGTAAGTTCCAACTGGATTAAACACCTAAATATGAAAGGCAAAAACCATAAAAAATTTTTTTTTAGATAACAGAGGAGAATGTCTTTAATTTCTGGCCAGAAAGTTTTCCTACACAAAACAAAAAGGCTCTAAAGGATAAAAATCCAACCTGCTAAAAAGAAAAATGTATCGGGGCGCCTGGGTGGCTCAGTCGGTTGAGTGTCCAACTTCGGCTCAGGTCATGATCTCACGGTTCGTGAGTTCAAGCCCCGCATCGGACTCTGTGCTGACAGCTCAGAGCCTGGAGCCTGTTTCAGATTCTGTGTCTCCCTCTTTCTCTGACCCTCCGCTGTTCATGCTCTCTCTCTGTCTCAAAAATAAATAAATGTTAAAAAAAGTTATAAAAAAATTTAAAAAAAAGAAAAATGTATCAAAGGACACTATAAAGAAAGTAAAAAGAGGGGCGCCTAGTGTGGAGCCTACTTAAGAAAAAGAAAGTGAAAAGACATGACACAAAATGGGAGAAAATATTTGCAACACATAAAACTGACAAAGGACCAGCATCAAAACAATATGAAAAACAAAAACAAAACAAGACAAAACCTCTTAGAAAGCAATAAAAAATATATACATAGAAAAAAATGGGCAAAAGATTTGGACAGGTGCTTAACAGGAAGTCCAAATGGCCATAAATATATGAAAATATGCCTAACCTCATTAGTAATCAAGGAAATGAAAATTAAATTCATGGTAAGAAAAAATTATATATTCATGGCAAAAATCTTTTAGGTCTGACAATATTAAGTATTAATGGAAACATGAAGCAACCGGGTAAAGACCCTTCTAGCAGAACCATTTGGAAAAAGTTTGGTTTATCTAGGAGACATGCATCTCCTATAACAATTCCATTATTAGGTAAATACACTAGAGAAATGTGTGCATGTATGCACCAGAAGACATACACAAGATTGTTTATAGCAACCTAGATACATAAATTGTGGTAAATTCATAATACAAAATGCTAAACACCAATGAAAATGAAATGAACCAGAACTATACATAACATGGGTAAATCTCACAAATAATACTGACAAAAAACAGCAAACCACAAAACAATATATATATTAAAAAACATATACAGTATTAATCCATTTATAAGAAGTTCAAAAACAAGCTGAACTAAATTGTTTAGAAATACATACATTACTGACAAAACTGTAAATAAAAACAAAGAAATTAAGATCCCAAAAGTCTGGATAGTGGTTACCTCCAGAGGTGAGGAAGAAAATTATAACCAGTAAGGTGCACAGGTTTGTTTTGGGGTATAGGCAATTTCTATTTCTTCTCCTTAGTGGTTATAATCATTCTTTAAACAATACATACATGTTTTATGAATTCTAATTTACATCTGATATATATCAAAATAAAAAGTAAATTAAAAATTTTTTAAAGTTATCATCATATACTACTCAATATAAAAACCAATCTCAGCTGTACAAAAGGGAATTTTTCTCATAACCCTCTTCCAAACGAGAGGAAAGCTAAGATACTAATACGCTGGAAAGAGAGGTAAATGGTCAAGTTGCTTTGGCAAACAGAAACAAAAACAAGTGAAATAACATTTTAAATTATATTTAATAAATATCAGATGTGATTATTATTTTAACCATATATAGCCTTTGCTCTGGGTAAGCCTGCTAAAATTGTATCCAGATGGCACATTCATAGATTCTACTGGCCCATGACCTCCCACAAGTTTATAACTGTTAATGGGTAAAAAATTAAAACTGAACAGAAACTCTGGAAGAGAAAAGCAGCCAACAGGCTTTTGTGAGCAAGAATGTAATTTTATTTATGGTTATTGATGCAATAAATAGCCTTATATAGAGAGAACTGTTTGCCATTAAAGCATACCTCAAGTCTTTGGCAGGGAAATGGATAAAAAGAGGTTTATATATTTTCACTCATGATTACAAAACCATGAGTTCTAGTAACAGGAGATAAAATCAGTCACAAACAACAAAAATTAACTGAGTACCCATTGTTGAAATCAAGAAAAATTTCACCCTGCCTGTGTTTCATGTCAAAGGTAATATAAAGAAAAGTACGGTGTAACCCATGGTTTAAGGAAAAGTACAATCAGCACAATGTGTGGTAATACAGAAGACACAAAAAAGCATAAGACACAGTCCTAAATATGAAAGCAAAAACTCTTTTAAGAAAACATGCCTAATTTGAACCTAATTAAATCAAGAGCAGGATAAGAGGTGAGGAGGGGAGGAAATGCTCTGAATGAAAGGCTTTCCCTGGTGAGATCAAAGACTTAAAACAGTTCTTATTAACGCTCTTCTAAAACTGCTTCCCAATATTTCTATTCAAGTGAAATCAACAGAATATCAAAAGTGATCCTTAGGGGTGCCTGGGTGGCTCAGTCAGTTAAGCGTCTGACTCTAGATTTTGGCTTGGGTCATGATCTCATGGTTAGCGAATTCGAGGCCTGCATTGGGCTCCTCACTGGGCCTGTGTGGACGCCTAACCAACTCAGCCACCCTGGAGCCCCTTGAGTGTTTTTTAACATTGGCTGGCCTGGGCCACTTTCTTCTCTCTTCAGGTTGCCTCTCTTGAGTCACTGTTTTATCAGCTAGTTCCCTCAAAGATTCCCCATGGATTTTTCCAGTTTACTGTATTTGTTTTTAACTTAATAGACTATTTTTGTCTTTTTCATATTAGCCTTTCATTTTATGCTGTTAAAAATGTTCTTTGGTGAAGAATAAAGAAATACAGTGGAAAATGACTAACATTCTTAACCTGGAAAAATTGGAATGTTTCCTACACCAAGAAAACAGAATGTGTGGGAACCAGTGAACTAGTGATTGCTAAAGTCCTTTAGGCTCAGGTTGTGTGAAAGGTATAAGAACTAAAGCCAGAGAAACTAAAGGTCACATCCTAGGCCAAACTACAGGTCATATCTTTATAAAGCTCCAACCCACTATCATGTGAGAGGTCACCTTTAGAGCAGTGGTTCTCAGCCAGGAGCTATTGTGCCTCCTCCAGGAGACATCTGGCAATATTTGAAGATATTTTGGTTTTTACAATCCCAGGGGTGGGGGGAGGAGATTAGCTTCTAGCTAGTGGGTAAAGTTTGGTAAACATCCTAATTTGCAGAACAACCTCCCATAAAAAATATTCATCCAGCCAAACAGATCAATAATGCAGAGACTGAGAATCTCTGTTTAGCTCTCTCTACTATGTAACTAATGCGTTACTGATTTAAACACATATCAATTCAAATTTCAGCAAAGGAGAGAAACATTAGGGAAATCTGAATCATGGGAAGATGTGTGGCCTAAAATTACTTTGGCAGACAATGACAATATAGTATCAAAACTTCCATTTTCTAGTTTTACTTACAGAGTCACATTCTACATCTGAAATTTAAAACTCTATCTTCATTAGGTATCATACTTCAGTGGTTTAAAAAGTATATATGGTGAAAGGCTTTGGAAGAAGGCAATCCTGTACTCAAATTCTGGCTTTAACAACTTCCTGGCTATAAGACCTTAGTAAAGTCCCTCAACCTTACTAGGATTCCATTTCCTCACTATAAAATCAGATTAGTAATATGTACCTCACAAAGTTGTTTTAAGGATTGAATGGAAAATGTATTTAAAATTGCGTATCTGTCTAGAATATAATAAATAATAAACATAATGTTTACTTGGAAAGGGGACTGTAGTTAAGAGTTGGGCTTCTGAGGGGCACCTGGGTGGCTCAGTTAGTTGAGCATCCAACTTTGGCTCAGGTCATGATATCATGGTTCACGAGTTCAAACCCTGCATTGGGCTTGCAGCCCGCTTTGGATTCTCTGTCCCCCTCTCTCTGTGCCCGTCCCCCACTCATGCTCTCTCAAAAATAAACAAACATTTAAAAAAAAAGTTGGGACTTTTGGAAATCTCTGTTCTGCTACTTACTGTGAAACATGAACAAATTATTTCATAACTTTGAGCCTCAATTCCTTCATCGGTAAAATGGAGCTATTACCATTATTCTCATGGGAGAGTGGTGAGGGCCAATAAGATAAAGTTTGTGAAGCACCCAGCTTAGAACTCAGAAAGTGTTCAACATACAAAGCTATTTTGATTATTAAAGTGAACCAATAAAACCTGACATTTTCCACATGCAAAAGCTCTCCCATATATGTCCTGAACTACATTTTGTCTAATTTTCTGCCATTTGGCCTGGGTAGAGAAACAGTATTCACATTTCTCTTAAAATCTTTTTTTTTTAACGTTTATTTTTATTTTTGAGACAGAGAAAGACAGAGCATGAATGGGGGAGGGTCAGAGAGAGAGGGAGACAGAAACTGAAATAGGCTCCAGGCTCTGAGCTGTCAGCACAGAGTCCGACGCGGGGCTCGAATTCACGAACCGTGAGATCATGACCTGAGCTGAAGTCGGACGCTCAACCGACTGAGCCACCCAGGTGCCCCTGTTAAAATCTTTTTGTAGCTAGGAAATACATCACTCTTCCTAGTCCTCTCTCAATCAGGAAGGTTTTTTGTTTGTCAGTTGTACCTCAATAACAGGAAGATTTTTTACTTGATCTTTTTGGTATAAATAATTTTACATAAGATGTATTGTAATTTCCTAGAAGGCCTGAACAGCAAAACTAGTATCTTTTGTACAACAAAGTCTCTGAACTATTTCCTAGCTCCATTAACAATTTTACCAAGATATCAATATCAGAAAACTCACCTCTTGACAGGACCCTACTGTGCTTAGAGTTAATATAGGCTTCACACAGCACTCTGTTTCCTTAACTTTAATAATCAATGCATAGCAAAGAAAAAAAATGCACATTTAGTAGGCAATCTCTCCACAGTCAGTTACAGTTAAAAACAATTACTTAGAAGAAAAGGGAAAACTATTGACTGTGCCTAAAATATCAATGGGTGGCTCAGGCGGTTGAGCGTCTAACTCCTGATTTTGGCTCAGTTCATGATCTCACAGTTTGTGAATTTGGGGGCTGTGTTCATGCTGACAGTGCAGAACCTGCTTGGAATTCTCTCTTTCTCTCCCTCTGTGTCTGCCCTTCCCCAACTTGCACGTGCAGGGGGCTCTCTCTCTCTCTCTCTGAAAATAAATAAATAAAACTTTTTTAAAAAGTAAAATATCTCAATGTATCATAATGACAAATTTACAAGTAATTCATAGAATTATTCCATTATTTACAGGTGACATTTCTCTTATTTATTTCAAAGTCTTAACTCCCAGAGTGCCTCGATGGCTCAGTCGGTTAAGCGTCAGACTTCAGCTCAGGTCATGATCTTGTGGTCTGTGAGTTCCAGCTCCGCATCAGGCTCTGTGCTGACAGCTCAGAGCCTGGAGCCTGCCTCAGGTTCTGTGTCTGCCTCTTTCTCTGCCCCTCCCCAACTCACGCTCTGTCTCTCTTTCTCTCTCAAAAAAACAAACGAACATCAAAGGCTAAGTCACTAAAAGTTCAAATCCACCACAAAAAGAAACTGCTCACCTCAGGAGATTTCTGTATATTCTGGAATACAGCAGAGGCAATAAGTGAACTTGAACCTATAACACTGACAGATAGAAGGTGATCATTAAAACAGGACTACTGGGGCACCTTCATCTTTGCTAATAATTTTTTACAGCTTTATTGATATATAATAGGTGCAAAATAAGCTGCACATTTTTCTAAAATATGAAACGCTTCATGAATTTGTGTGTCATCCTTGTGTAGGGGCCATGCTACTCTCTTCTGTTTCATTCCAATTCTTAGTACATGTGCTGCCAAAGCAAGCACTTTGCGACTGACTTTGCAAATCAATCCTAAGTCCTTTGACTTTCAGATGTTATCTCTCAATCTGCTTTTTTTGTTGTTGTTGACGCTACATGTTATGAATCAGAAAATGTCAACATGGTGGGGCACCTGTGGGGCTCAGTTGGTTGAGCATCCAACTTTGGCTCAGATTGTGATCTCACAGTTCGTGAGTTCAAGCCCAGTGTCAGTCTCTCTGCTGTTAGCGTAGGCCCGCTTTGGATCCTCTGTCCCACTCTCTCTCTGCCCCTCCCCTGCATGCACACATATGCACGCTCTCTCTCATAAAAAGTAAATACAAAAAACATTAAAAAAATGTCAACATGGTAAAGAACAGCATTTCTCTCTTAAGAGTATAAACAAATACCTAGGGGAAAAAAGTAGAAAACTTCAGAATTCTACAGTTTTGCTTACAATAAAGTTATAGTACATGAGATTAAATAAACCTACCTCAGAGCAGCCATAACAAATTGTATCCACTGTATTGCAGAAAAAATCTAAATAAAAACAAAGTGAGAATAAAATTAAGTCTTTTACATTTAAGATTCAACCTCACTCCATTTTCACTGTTTATTAAATATCTGTGCAGAGCAAACTCTTCAGTGCCTATCAAAATACCCCACGGGTCTGAGAATGAGTAGAAAGGCCCCTGGAAAGGCAGGGTGGCTCCTTATTTACTCTCTTATTGCTCCATCTCTGGGAACCAGTAAGATAAAAAGAATAGAGAGGTGGATACAAAATGACTAAATGTAAAGAGAACTGGATGAGAAAATCTACAAAGGAAAGAACAAAATGGAGAAGAGGTAGATAAGGTTAAATTTTGAGAGAGAAGAGATAGATGTGCGAAAAGAATGGGTAATAGGAAAAGCAAACAAATACTAAATAGAGTTGATGGACAGCTACACAGAGAGAAAATAGAATAGTAAGCAATAAAAAATGGGAAGAAAAAAGTTAATAGTCAAGAGATACTGTGAGTGAGAAATACAAAACAAGGAGGAAGAAACGGGAAGCAAAAAAAGGAAAGGGACAACTTCTAGGCTTACCAAGTCCCAACTGTCCTCCAGAATGCTAGCCTCCAGCCGGAAGGCCATAGGGACTTCAGCCCCAGCTATGCTTAACGAGCGTGATCCTTCTCAGGTTCTGAGTCCCTAAACACTGAACTGGTGGCTCCACCCCTAGCCCAGCTGGGCTCCTCCTCCCTACCCAATCCAGCCCTGTATCTTGAGGACAAGGAGAGAAGGTGGCGACAAGTGGAGGAGAAAGCCAAGCAGAAAGAACAAAAATAGAAAGAGCAGGTGACAAGGAAACAAAGTTCTAAAAAGCATTAGGAATTGTAAGAAGGGGCAAGAGGCAGGAATGATAAAAAATAGAATGAGTCATAATGAAAAGATAAATAGAGCTGCAAGAGAGAAATGGAACAGAACAAAGAGACAGAAAAATAAGGAAGAAGAGAGATCTGCTTAAAGCTTGCCATGTTTAGGGACAAAAGCCTGTGGCAGAAAAGGGAGACTGTATATTGAAGCGACCAATAAATTTTTAGTAATACCAAGAAAAGCTGTGAAGAGCAGTTGTTGTTAATATCTCATAGTTAATAGTAACATCTTAAATATTCTATACCAAAAATTCCCACCAGAAATACATTAAGTTACATGATTCATTTAATATACTTATATTTACATATCAACTCTGTGCAAAACATTATGCTACAGAAGCTATAAAGACAAGAGACAGACCAAGACTTCCAGGAGCTTATAATACAGTAGGAAAAATGGCCTTTATACCAAAATCTCAAATTATCTGATAAAAAAATACACTGTCGTTTGAACCAATTTGGAAGAACTGGTGAAATTTGGACAAAGACTAGAGTACAGAGAAAGCAGAGAAGGAAGACCATTTCATTTATGTAACCATTTACATTTCATCTAAGCATACTTTCATACATTCTACAAATATTAACTGATAACATAAATTGGATCATTTGCATGGGTTCAGTAATTTAAACGTGATTCTTTTATTCAAGTGAGGTTAAGAATCTAGTGTGGAGTAGAAGAAGGGATATCATTAAATAGGTTCTGATGGGAAACTGTTAAGTGGAGGTACGCTCTAACCACTTTGCTTAAATTATTAGATAAACAAATAAAAAAAATACAAGTAAATTTCTGGATCAAAAATCCCTACCATAAGGTCTCAGAGAGTGTTCTGAGGCCTCTAATCATACATCTATCTAATAAGGGTGAGGGAACTAATGACAGTCTCACCAACTGATAAGAGAATGCTTTTAGACAAAGGACTCTTGTCTCAATCAAGAACAAATCTCAAATTGTTTGGGAAACAGCCATGCCAAATCAGTCTGCTGCTCTTGACATAACAATTTTTCTCTTTTGGCATTTCTTCTAAAATGTCTTATGCCACTGACCAAATTCCCATTCAGGGATTTACTTTTCCATTTTTCTCTCTAAATTAGCCCCCTGCTTTTTGTATATTAAGCAGTGTTCCCCCTTGAAATGTCTTTGGAAATATAATCTTCCCATCTTCCTTTTCTGCAAGGGCTAATCCACGCACAAATGAAGTGGGTGGTACTTATTTTTAGTTTTCTCTTTTTACTTAGTTTCTTAGTAAGTTCAAATATATCACAGCTCAGGGAGCCTGGGTGGCTCAGTCAGTTAAGCTTCCAACTCTTGATTTTGGCTCAGGTCATGATCTCACAGTTCATGGGACTGAGCCCAGTGTCGGAGCCCGCTTCGGATTCTCTCTCTACCCCTACCCTGATTGCACGTGTGCACACCTTCATGCACTCTCTCTCTCAAAATAAATAAGCATTTTTAAAAAAAATACATCACAGCTCACTTCATGTAATGGGCTGCTACATTTTATAAATCAAATTAACAGATATTCATTAAACCTCTACCATGAGCAAGTTACTACTGTGGATACAAAGTCAAGAAAAACACTTACCTAGTAAAATATTTTTTATTTTAAATATAGTTTAAAAAACTGTATTTAAAGATTTCTAGTATTAATAGCTACCAATTATCAAGTACTTTCTATGGGTAAGGCTCTATGCTAAGCATTTTATTTTTTTTTCAAATGTTTATTTTTTAGAGAGAGAGAGAGAGGGAGGGGCAGAAAGAGAGGAGGACAGATGATTCAAAGCGGGCTTTGCACTGAGA